TAACATCATTAAGCTGCTCTTCAGAAGCATTAACTATTTAAGTTTGCAGACTAAAAATTGGAGAAAAAGATGGTCTTCAAGGATAGGCGACATTTGGCCCTAATTCTTGAAGTTCAGTGATGACTCAGAACCTGTACTGTAACATCCTGTAGTTCAGTGATGTCCCAAATTTTCTGATCAAAGGGGGCCACAGGCGAAAGTGTTTGACCATTTAGAGTATGTCTAAAGAGTGTCATTTAGAGAGAAAACTTTCTCTCAAGCTTTTACATAGAGCAAATTGGTCAAGCAATGGCCATGACTCATCCACATGGCTGACTGTGACAAAAGAACTACAAACTGTTGTACAGGGTTTCAAGGTAAATCCTGAGGGGATTTGAATGACCTTGTCAGATGGAAAAGTTACATTTCTTGTTGTATAGGTCTTGCTTTGTGTTTGTTTTAACAATTCAGTAGAAAAGTATATATATGAGGTATAAAAAGTAAAGGCCTACTAATATGCTGAGCTGTAAAAGGCTGAAGTCAACAACTGTCATTTCTAGTCATGTGGATAACACATCACTATTATATATTAGTGGACTATATTGAATTACTTTGCAGAATTCATGCACCTACAATATATGAATGGTAATGGATTACCTGTCTCTAACAAAGTAAACAAAAAAGGAATATAAGTTAAAGAATGATTTTTAGTGAGAAAATATATTTATATATCTGCATATACAAAATAACATAGATATACAATATATTCTCTTAGTTCAATGAGAAGAAAGTTTTATATATAGTTTTTATACAAGATATCATGTCTGCATCTTTTACTATGAATAACCACTACGAAGACAATATGCAATTTATTAATTATTTAAACTGTCCTAATAATCTGTTTTGAAACTCTCTCATTGCTCTATTTTGTAATAAAATTAATTTAAAAAGCGCTCTTCAAATACAGCTTTTCTAACCACTGTCAAACACCTATCTCTGACAAAATAAAACAAAAAAGGAAGATATAATTAAAGGACCATTTTCTTTTTGTCTGTGTGTGTGGAAAATATATATGTATATATACAAGATAGTAAGGATATATAGCTAATTTATCTTATTTTATTAAGAGGAATGGTTTGTACTAACGTCGTTTTGATAAGACAGCATGTCTCCATCTAATCCTCTGATTAACTATTATTAAGACAATATACAATGTATTGTGTTTGTTATACTAAACTGTCGAAAAATTTTTCATTGTTATTTTATCTTTTTTCTCATTATAATGACAAAAGACCAGTAGACATAGACAATGAAATTCTCCAAACTATTTTGTATATGTACCTAAATATGTCTTTTTTTCTTTCTTCCATTTGACTTTTTAAAAATTAATTTTATTGAGAAACACCAAGGAGACCGTTTCAAAAGCAATTAATAAGACAGTTTCAACAATTAATGCATTGCATATTGTTATCTTCTTAGTGTTTATTCATAGTACAAGATGCAGACATGATATCCTGTCCAAATACTACCAGTACAAATCTTTCTTCTTATTGAATTAAGAGAAAATAGCATATCTCTCCTATTTTGCATATATAAATACAAAGTGATTGTTTCTTTGTATTCCCATTTTTTTGTTTAGTTTTGTTAGAGATGTGTATTCCATTGCTATTTATGTATTGTAGGTGCAAGAATTCAGCAATATAATCCAATATAGTCCAATAGTCCATAATAGTAGTGGGTTATCATAGGACTGGCAATGCTATTTGACTTTTTGACTTCTTGATGATTCTTTCTTGTGTGAGATGGCATCTCAGTGTTGTTTTAATTTATATTTCTGAAATGACCGAATATGTTGAAAAATTCTTTATATATTTATGTGTCCTTTGTATTTCTTCATCTGAAAAATGGATATTTATATTCCCTATTTTGGATTGGGTATTTGAATTTTGGATGATTGACTTTTAAAAATTCCTTATGTGTTGTAGATAGAAGGTCTTTGTCAGATGGACAGTCAGCTATAATTTCTTATTTTCTTTCTTTCTTTTTTTTTGTGGCCAGCTCAGCCAACCCTAGGGGCAGGGCTTTCGCTGCATATGGTGCTGGGGATTGAACCAATGTCCCTGTGCAGTTGCCTAATCTTGCTTGAGCAGGCACTTTAGACCACTGAGGTATCTCGCTGGCCTTTAATTTTTTCTGAGTTCATGTGTTTTCTTTTCACTCAGTTGGTGATTTCTTTTGACATGCAGAAATCTTTTAAAAAAGATGAGCTAACAGTTTTTGATTCTTTGAAATATGTCCCATGAAGTTTGACTTTTGTTTACGAACTCTCTACTTACCCTCATGTCTGTGAACACATGACACACCATGTCATGTGAGAATGTCACATGTGGGGGGCGATAGAACTCTCCTCTTACACTTCCCTTATTTGGGCAAGAAATGCTGCAGCACCAATTCCTGCTTGCCTCAGCCTCTTCCTGTGGTCCTGGACCTCCACTACCAATTCACAACTAGTCCCACCCAACTGCTTCCACTATACAGCTATTTAGACCCCGCTCACTTCTTCAATAAATGAGACTTGATCAGAATCCTGTCTTGTCTCCAGCTCTTGTGTCTCTTGCCCTGTCCTGTTCATCCCCGTTCCTCCTCCACATCACTACCCCATGTGTTGACTCGCAGGACAAGTCAAGTGGCACCCAGCGTGGAGGCCTGGCATGGAGGATTCAATGAGGGAGCCGTTCGAGAGCCCAGGTACGAAGCAGATAGTGATAGTAAATTCCGAGGCCAACACCGTGCGAGTGCCTGCCGCGCCGCTTGAGCCACCATGAGTGAACGGCAATCCCCTTCCCCTTTTCCGGTATGGGTCAAGCATTAAGCGAGCATGAGCTCTTTGTAGAAAGCCTCAGCAAGACACTTAAAACACGAGGGATTAAGGTAAAGGAAAAAGATTTATTACAGTATTTTAAGTTTATTCATGAGGTTTGCCTGTGGTTCCCATTGGAGGGCACGATCAATTCTAAAAGATGGAAATGAGTGGGCGATGCGTTACTGGATTTTTGTAGAGTTTTTGGCTCTGAAAAAGTCCCAGTCACAGCATTTTCATACTGGGGCTTGATTGATGAGATTCTTACGCAGAGACATAGAGAAAAAAAATTTAAGATATGTTTGTTATTACAGCTGTTAGAGCTTTTAGTCTTACTAATTTTTTTAAGGTAATGCATTTCCTTATTCCAGCAACAAAGGCTATTTTTGTTGTTGTGTTTTGGGAAGAGACTTATTATAATGTATAGGTTATTTTCATTCTTATGCACTGGGTCACTGAGCTTTGGTATATGTGTGTTGCTATTGTTTACCAGTTTATGAAAGTTTTCTTTATATATTTCATTTTTTCATTCATATCTTTTGACTTGGATTTCATTTACAAGTTAGCAAGCTGTTTCGACTATATTTGCCTCTTCCTTTTATTCTTTTCTTTTTCAGTTTGCCATTCAGTTGAAATATATTTTATCAACATAATTTCTAGTTGACTTTTATCTCAGATACAAATTTTAAATATCAGTTCTCAGAATTGATAAAATTTTCATTTGACTATTTCATGATTTCAATTTGCTTGTGTTATTCTTTTATGCACTTACTTTTTATTTTCTTCTGCTATTTTCAACGTATCAATCATCATTTTCTTAATCAATTACAATTTATTTTCATCCTGGTTGATCTCTACATGAACACCAATTATTTTTCTCTTTTATTTAGATAATATTTTCTTATATTCAAGGTAATTATAATCAAATTCTGATATTTTTATTAAAATTCATGTTATGTATGCTCTTGATCATATTATTTTGCAAAATGAAGATCATAATCTGGCTACAAAATCACTACTGGATATTAATCACCTTAGTCCTAGATGTCTTAATTGCAAAGAGCTTTCTCTGCAAAGTACACTTATATAACATGTAGATATTTTCAGCTATTATCACTAAGGGGGGCGGTGTTACTGGATCTAGTAACTGCAGCACATTGATGCTAGTAAACCAAATTTATCAAAATTATTCAAGTATACGTTAAAATTTTACATGGGGCTATCCACTAAGAAATGTCATCATTTCTTCACAAGATAGAATGTCTTGCTTTAAAACAATTACAAAGAAATTGGCAATTACTCTCCATCTCAATGTCATTAGATAATCTCCTTTAATTTTTGTATGAGCTGAATTTCATAAAATTGCCTAAAATCAAGTGTTGAGGACAAACAAGAGTTGTCCTGAAAACCTCAGTAGCTTCAGTTCTTGACAATTGTACACTGACTCCAGTAGAGCATCCTGAGCATGTTTTTAATCCTCACATGTACAAAATCATTGGGATAGATATATAGTTACATTCTCTTAATGAATGGAGGGATTTGTTCTAATAGTGTTTGTAAATAGGATATCGTGTCTGCATCTTGAACAGCATATAACCACTGGGAAGAGAGTATGCAATGTGTTAATTGTTGAAGCTGTCGTACCGATTTGATTTGAAACTGTCTCATTATTTGTTTCTCAATAAAATTATGGAAAACAATAAAAAATCACAGAATCTTTGCACTTGAATCAGTCATTTTTTGCACACAATTTTTGATTTCAGGTAAATAGTTATTTATTTCCAATGATTTTGCTAACCGCTAAACAAAAAAAGACCAGTTGGTATGGATCGGAACACTTTACTTAATAAACAAACATAAGGTCATTATTACCTCCCTAGTTAATACCCAGCACAAACATTTTGGACATATTTGAGAACATTCTAGTACCATGTTTTCATCCTAATTGTTTCACCTACCTTAATCCACTGAAATGTAACTCTAACAAACCCATACTTTTTTTAAATCTCTTTCTGTGCTTAGGAAAGTGCTGTAAAATTATGAGTTCTTTATAAATATAGCAGTATGTAAATGAGTGGTGTATTTGATGAATGATGAAGGAATAATATACTTAATTATGATTGAACATTCTGAATTCTAGCTTTACTTTCTTCTATTCCATCTAACAAATGCTGTGCTTACTTAACAGCTTTCTCATGGAAGCTTTCACTTCACAATTCCGAAGTGTATAAATCACAGGGTTCATCAAAGGAAAGATGACTGTGTGGAAGAGAGCAACCACTTTATCAGCTGGAAAAGCCCGAAAGGGACGAGTATAGATAAAAATCGCAGGACCAAACATGAGAAACACAATGATAATATGAGTGGTGCATGTAGAGAGAGCCTTCTTCTTCCCTTCATGAGACTGCCCCTGAACACGGCAGAGTATGACAGCATAGGAGGACAGAAGTCCTAGGAAACACAGGACAGTGAGCAGGCCACTGTTGGAGACCATCAGGAGCTCCACTACAAAAGTATCTGTACAGGCCAGCTTGATGACTTGTGGCACATCACAGAAGAAATTGTCCAGCTGGTTTGGGCCACAAAAAGGCAAGTGCAGGATAAGTGCCACTTGTACAAAGGAATGGGCAAAGCCGCCAAGCCACAGACCCAAGAGTAATGCATAGCAGACATTAGGGTTCATGATGTTTGAATAGTGTAAAGGACGACAGATGGCAGTGTAGCGGTCAAACGCCATCACAACAAGAAGGAGCATCTCTCCTGCTCCAAGAAAGTGTAAGAAAAAGAGCTGAGTGATACAGCTTCGGTAGGAAATTATCTTCTTCTCTGAGAAGAAGTCCACAAACATCCGGGGAGCCACAATGAAGGAATAGGATGCATCTAGGAAGGCCAAGTTGCCCAGGAAGAAGTAGAGAGGCACTGAGTGCAGGGTCTGATCTTATGGTGAAAATGATGAGTAAATTTCCAGGGAGAATCACAAGATAGAAAATTGAGACTAAAACAAAGACCAGAAATTGAACATCTTGAGACTGTGTCAGGCCAAGGAGGACAAATTCTGTCACCACTGTAGTGTTTTCTGTCTCCATCACTTTTCACTACGAATAAATAGAAAAATCAAACATTGACCTTTATAAACATTTTGTCAGTTTAATAGTGCCACCTCAAATTTTTAAAAATTTTTTCTACAGGCCAAACTACCATGAGTTAATGGAAGTTTTGTTCCATAACTGTTTCTTAAGTTAATTCTTTTTTCCTCCTTCTGATACTTCATTTAAATACTGTTCATCTAACTATACTTTTATAAACAATGAAATATAAGTTTCTATATAAATGTGCTTTTGTAGGACCTTACCCAATTCATTTTTAATATATAAATTTTTTTTTATTAAAAGGAAAACTACCATTATCAAAGTTGTCCTTATTGCTGGATTATTTTTGTTCTTAGTGATGGCTCAGTTTCCAATTTTCAGAGTACTTGCTAACTTCCCTTTCATCCCCACAGAACAAAATGCTTTTGTATTTGATGCTTTCCTGTAGTTCCTAGAGAAAACATAGTTCCTGGCTGTGAGTCTTATTTGTTGAAATTGTGAATAACGAATTTCCATCATATTGCTCTGCTGTGTTTGTCTTGTACATTTTTACCCTGAATAGATTATCAACATCTCAAGTAAGATTGATACATTTCATGTAACTTTGAGGTATTCTCTTAGTTATACCTATGACTGGGTTGCCACCTGTCTGTTGTGCAGCATGCTCTTAAGTTCAGATTGATAGAGTCTCAGTCATTTAACAAGTATCTCAGAATTTTAGTGAATTTTTGTCTTTTTCACAGAAGCTTTTGGATAATTTCATACTCAATACATGTAAAAGAGTTTGATCCATTCATCTACTTGAATTGAAGAACAATAGAAGAAGGAGAGTCAGTTAGCAAAACATGAATGCTAATACACTCTTTTGAAAGATGATAAAAGTATAGCAAATATAGTTATTTTATTTATTTATTTGTTATTTGGGGGATGGATCTAATGGGTGTTGAGGCTATCACTATTAGATGGGACTCGTAGGGGTTGTCCTGTTTACAGCATCCCAATTGCTGGAATTACAGGCGTGTGCCACCATGCTCAGTCACAGTCACTGTCTCAGTGCCCCCTGGGCAAGGGGCTGGCACAGCAGGCCCAAGGACCGAACCCATGGCCCCTGTACCTGCTTGCAGGTGCTTTAATCTGCTGATCTATTTGGCCGGCCTTTAAGTGTAGTTGCTTTAAATTCACAGTGAGTTTACATTTTTGCTCTCATCAGCAAATGATAAATAAGAGAAGGGGCATGTATTCTTCTTTTAAAACATATTAGGATAAAAAAGACAAATTTCATTTCTGAGGACATGGATGCACCTCAAGACTACAATATTAAGTGATATCAATGAGGCACACAAGTTTAAATACTGCATGGTTCCTCTTATAGAAGACACTCAAAATATAAATACTTTAAAGAGGAAAACAAAATGTAGATAATAAGATAAAATGAGTCAGATCTTTTGCAGATGGCAAGGAGATCTAGAGATGGAGGAATAAGTGAGGGAGAGGGGAAAGTAGAATCAGTTAATGTGAGTTATGCACTTTACCAGCTCCCCAAAATGAATGTTATTATGTACTGCAGTGAGGTACTAAAATACTTTAAAATTCAAAATAAATAACTACTAAAAAACAAACTGATAAGTAAATTATTACTGTTTATTTTATTGGTGTTTTAAGGGTTTTAAATAGCAAGACACAACATGGTTTATTTAAATATCTCCCTTTTCATGAAGGAGAAGTCAAGGACCAAGGTTTAGTCTATGTACTAGTCTCCAAAAAGGAGCACACTCATCCTTGAGAAGAGTGATGCAGAAGAAAATCCATTGTTGTCCTTCCCCACAGTGGGTCATCTATCATATTACTATAAGGTGCTTGGAAAACTCTTGTGTTTTTTATTGGTTTCTAGTATATATTATTATATTTGCACAAACATATTAATATTATTTATTCTTATAAGGCTATTTATATTTTCATCTACATTAAAAGGCAAATGAGAATATGAGAACATATTATTAAACTGTACCACATACAGTTGTTACCCTTGATTTCTAATAACATACAATGCTTATTTTTCCAGTGCTATGGATACAATAGAATGCAATTTGATAATGAAAAAAAAACCGAATTACTTATATATGCTAGAATATGGATAAATTTCAACACATGCCCTATGAAAGGAGGTAGTCACAAAACATAATTTTAAAATTTTCTAGAAAAGGATAATCTGGAGAGACAAAAATTGGATTAGTGTTTGCTTAGTACTAAGGATGAAAATGAGGTTGACTTATGTGCATGTGGTTTCTCCTTATTGTGATGAAAATACTGCAGAATCTTATTATACTGACTCCTCCTCTTTTCTGCAAATACATCTCAGGCCATTGCATTTTATGCATTCAATGGTGAGTTTTATGATTTGTTTATCCTAGTAATATTTTCAGCAGTGCTATTAAATGGGGGAAGGGGCACTAGGGTGAGATTATATATCTATGTGTAAGTGATGATAACTATTAATTTTATCTCAAGTTAGAGGAAGTGAGAAGAAACAACTGAGAGACAAATTAAGGAAAACTAAGGATCAAAGGTACCTAGCATGGGGCGTTTAAACAATACAGAACATTTTACACCACACCTCTGAAGAAATATCTGAATATTCATTTTACACAATTAATAATCAAAACTAATAGCCTGAACAATTGCTTAAAAGTCATAAGAACATATTTGTATATTCACATATATGTGCACATTGGCATTAAAACACCAATACTGAGTAAAACTTGTTGAAAAACAATAAAAGTAATCTATGGTGCCTTTCAAATTAACACAGCAGTCTCCTTTTTTCTTTTTTTTTTTGATCATTTATACTCTTACTTTCCTCCTCTATTTTTCAAACTACCTGAAGAAATATGTCTCAGGAAAGTTATCATGAAGATCTCTCTTCTATTGTTACATTTTATGAGTTCTAGTTATTAATTTACTTTTAATTATCTCATGTTTCTCAGGTTTCCGAGCTCTGAAATGCTTGGAATACCTGAGAGTTACAATCTCTCTCTTCACTTTTACTGTTTGCTATCTATTTTCATTCCCTGCCAACTAGCATATTAAAGTTCACACTACTTCATATGTTGGCCCATTTCATGCCTTCTTCTATTCTCATGTCTGTATCTTTTGTTGCAGTGATTCTCAAGTTTTGCTTATACAGAGATAAAAGAGAAATGTGGATCAGATGGACATTACTCTATACAAATAAAATTCCACAAAAGAGCCCAAAACAATGGATGTCAGAGAGGCAAATGTTTGGTTCCAGTTAACTAAGATAAAGCAGTATTGTTGGTAGGCTGAAATGGAAGCTGAGTGTATGTCACCATCTCTAAATTCCTTAATTTCCTAAATTTCCTTATTTCAACTACAACAAAACTCATCTGTCACTGAAGATGCATGGACAAGATACTCTTATTCCTCTCCATTCCCAAGTTTCAGTCACACAAGATTCTGCAGGCTATGCTGTGCATAGCTGGGAAGTTATCATAGCAGATCCTTATGCCAGAAGTTTGAGGACAGGGTCATTGTTTTAGCAGATCACTTCTTATTTTCCACTGATTTCCCTTACTTCTATTTTTCATGCTTCTCTTATTTCTTGTTGCTGATTTTGACATTTACCTTAGTATATCTGTGCATATTTTCTCTTACCTTTGCTTTTACTTTCATTGATTTTTTTCTTGCAATTTATCCATTCTTTTATTCCTTGTTCTTTTTTATTATTCTCTTTGCTTTTCTCATTTTCCACATATTTCCTAATTTAAGAATTTCTCACTTTGTTCTCTAGTATATACAACTTCATTATATTAAATCTTCATCCTTCAATTAATTCCAAGATGATGGTTTTCTGTACTCATTAAAAAAAAACAATGAACACATGGGCCGGGGAGATGGCTCAGTGGTCTAAAGCACCTACTTAGAACAAGCTTAGCAAAGCACAGGGACTGCGGTTCAATCCCCCAGCACCACATGCCAGCCAGCCAGCCCAGCCCCTGGTGTGCTGAGCTGGCCACACACACACACACACACACACACACACACACACACACACAAATAAATAAAAAAATGAACACAATATATGCTTCCTTGTGTTCCATATATTGGACTCTACAAATCCAAAACACTTACCTCAGCCTTTAGTATTGAGTCTTTCCTTTTAAGTATGATACTCTTTGAAGCTTCCTCAGGCCAATTCACTTAATAACGTTACAATCTCTCACATATTTCATCAGTTTCTAATATCCTGATAAAAATTGATTACTGTTGTGTTCTAAAGTTAATTTCATCAATATCATTCCTATCCACATGAATAAATTTAGCAAAAGCATCTAAGTGGAAGGGTTCTTGATACTATATTTATTCCATATTTCAATGATTAAGCCAGAAACTTAAATTAAACACTTAACTGAAACATTCCCTAATAAAGTATTCATAATATTCATAAATATTATATAAATAAGTACGCACATATATTCTAAGGCTTACAACAAAGTTTCTGATGTAATAAATATATTCTTTGTTGAAAAGTTGTTAGAAATTGTTGCAGTTTCAACAATAAAGTAATTGTATAAATTTAGGTAAGTTATTTAGCCTTTAAATGTGAGATTTTTACCTGTACTGTAATATTCTGTAACTCAGGATGTCTCAAATTTTCTGATCAAGGAGATTATGGGCCACAGAGGAAAGTGATCAATGATGCAGGGTGTGCCTAAGGAGAGTCACATGGAGAGAAAATATTCTCTCAGGCTTTCACAGAGAGCAAAGTGGTCAAGTAATGGCCATGACTCATCCAGATGGCTGACACTGACAAAGGATCTAAAAACTGCGGTACAGAGTTTCAGGGTAAATCCTGAGGGGATTTGACTGACCTCTTCACATAAAACAGTTACATTTCTTGTTATATAGTTCTTGCTTTAACTTGGTCTTAACCATCCAGCAGAAAACTATAAAATCAATGTATAACAAATAAAGCTGGG